AATAGCCAGATCGGTGGCGGATACATCATGGTACCTTGGCATTAATTTTTTGTAAAAATTAAATGACAAACTAACAATTTTTTTTAAACGATTACAATCCACCTGCTTGTAAGTGGTTTCTGCAGTCCGTAGACACGTGCAGCTAACTTAAAAAAAAGAAAGCTGAAAAAGAAGATGGAAGGTAAATATATAATTGGCTCTAGTAAGTAATAACCAGTTATGAGTTGTTGTTATGGTACGTTCACAAGAGCTGTTAGTTTTTTTAAATTTAGTAGCCAAACGAAGACTTTGAGATCTTGAGACATTTGAGAGAATGAGATCTTTTATCGCATTTCTTTAAGTATTTCTAAATAATACCAATCAATAATGTCCTCCGGACCGAATTTCGATCACGGCGTCCAACCTTAACGGAGAGTAGCCATCGGCGCAGGACAGGATTATAGTGCCTAAGTGTATGCGCAAGCACAGGTACACTCTCTATTAACTTACCTCCATAGTCCGATGGGACGGTAGACTAACACGACCGGAGAGAGATCAGGCGCAGGACCAACGGTCCTACGTGTATTCCGAGGCACTAGGGTGACACACCGCCGACTTCCTGACTCCGGGCAGCGACTGAGTATTTATTGACGGATGACAGATTTTACCAATCAATATTTCTACCATGAATAATATCCTATCATCCTCTTTTTTCACCAACTGAACCAACCAATTTCTAACTAATTTAATGTCATGGAGGCTGAAGTATCTAACATCTCTAATTGCCAAAATATCCAAACATATTTGTGAGTTTTAAAACTGCTTTGATGATACCATTATAAATTATGCTATTCGCATCTTGGGTGGCCATTGACCAAACGCGCATGGCATTTAGCATTATACTCCAGGTTATCTGCTCACTAAGGGGGTATTTTTAAGAATAACGGTGATAAACGAGCACACATTCTACACACACACACACACTTCATACTATAGAACAGGTATTGTTTAATACCTTTATTAGGCACCATTCTCTCACAAACTAGTTTAACATGTTTGTCATCAATAATACTGTACCTGTTTGTGATGAGAAAATAAATATAATTTCTATTCTATTCCAACAGATGGTAAGTGGATGCTGTGGCCCGTACACATACGTTAATCAAAATACATTTGATGTCACCCCTAAAGACTTAGATGGAACGCCTCTTTTCCTGTAAAAAGGATCTATATACTCACTATACGAAATACAACAGCAATAAGCTGCTATTATTTGAGTTCTGTGAGAGTTCTTCCCCTGTGCAGCCAAACCATTCATTGTTCAACAATTCGACGTGGCTTTGTCTCGTATAATAAGTGTATAATAAAAATACAATTGTTCAAAATTATTTCATTTATTCCTTTATTTCTTAAAGATATTACATTAACTAACGATACGACTCCATTAAAACTTACATTAATGACGAAAAATTATTAAAATATTACGGAAATTACGAGGAAAAGGACTATAGCTAAGTCTAAATAGATATATTTGGATAGTACATTTAATTAACGGTATTGGAAACGTTTTTAGGTTAACATCACACTAGCGCTTATTAAAAATTGCACAAGTAAACGACGTAAATGCTACCTTTAAACCTACTACGTAGATTTTCTGCCTACAAGTCCGCTAGGGTTGACACAACCTCTACAAATTTTTGCCACTAAGCGAATTTCTACTGTCGTGTCTCGGAATGGAGGTTATAAACAGACACAATAATTACAGACTGTGATTTCCCGCGGCTTGTCTTAACAAACGGACACACACGTTCGCGAAATACATTTATTTTCTTAAATGTGCAGTTTTTACGATTTTTCTATGATTTTACACAACACGTGGATAATAGCAATTAACATAGAGCCTAATTTTTATACTAAGGTAACAAGAGTTATGTGTGGATTTTGACGAAGAGGAAAATAAAATATATAAAATAAAAGAAGGATGGGTGAACTATTCTTTTCTTTCTTACGTTGCAATTTATGGGGAGAGAAATTGTGTAATAATCATTAAATTCGTAAAAATAATATTGTTCAATGTGTAGTGTTCGCGTAAATATAAGAAATCATAAAAATCAAATATTTTAACAATATTGTAAATTGTTAAAATATTTTACCTACTTGAATGCCGTTTAAATAGTTACATTTTAATGTTTTTTCTTTGAAATTCTATATGGTATCACCACTGTCCTATTCAATAAAAGAAGAATAATTAAAATCGGTTTAGTCATTTCCGAGAAATCATTTTTGCATCTCGATTAAAAAGTAGCGTTTACGTCGTAACACTCGATCACATCATGACCCGACCGTTACAAATTTGGTGATACTTGGTCATTTAGCGCGTGTTAAACAATCGAAATAATACACTTTTAATATCCTCTTCCCTTTCATTTCATACAGGAAAGGGACAGGATGTTTCGAAATGTGGAAAGCTATTATTTACCACAGAGTACAAATTATAAATGATACATCTGTTGAAGACTCAAATATTTTTCGCGTTATAAAGAATTTATTAGATCAATATCTATTTGAGCCTCCAAGAGATTTATCGTAAAAAAGTAATGTACACTTATAATTAGTGAATAATTTTAGATAAACCAACAAAAAATTATGTAATTATCAGTATTGTGGAATCGATTGTTATAATTAAATAAATACAGTGACGTCTGGCTCACAGGGAACCAACATGAAATTAAAGATATCCGTGCCCTTTGCACACGTATTTGGTACTCAAACGTATCTTCACCCACTAAAATTGTATGGAAATACGAACAGCGCCTGTTGTGGACGTAATGTAACAAATTTCCTAACTTTAATTAAATTTTTCATTAATTGAAAGTAAACGAGATACCGTCGGCGATTTACTGCTTTATTTATGTTAAGGCAAGTTAACTAACGGCGTTTAACGAATTGAGCGTTCTTCATTCACGATATTTCACGCTGAGCTCACGTTAACGTTCGACACCCGGTTTCTATACTCAGTGTTCGGGCCACAGACCAAGCCAGTATTAAAGAAACCATCTATGCAGGAGAGGATTATTGTGCACGAGTGAGTAGACAAGCACAGATGCACTCTTTATTTCCTCACACTCATATTTGAGGACGGCAATCCAACACGACTGTAGGGAAGTCAGACGGCTTTACGTGCATTCCAAGGCACCGAGGTGAAACACCCCCAACTTATTGATTCCAGGCTGCTACTGAGGATATCTTGACAGAAACATGCAATAACTAATTTTGGCCCGGTTCGGGATTCGAACCTCGGACCACATGATATGCAGTAGCGCTTGCGACCACTAAATCCACGAGGCAGTTAAAATACTATCAGGCCTTAGAATAAATACTTTTTATGGAGGTTGTCCCCTTTTCCTGATTCCGCGTAACCAAATTTCACTGTATATATTAATTACCCTCTTATAAATTTTTTTATAGAAGAGGGGGCACACGAGCATACGGATCACCTGATGGTAAGTGAATACCGCCGTCCACGAAAAACTGCAACACCAGGGGTTTGCGGATGCGTTGCGGGCCTTTTAAAATACTCTTTTCTTGAAGGTCCCTAAGTCGTATCGGTCCGGGAAAATCTCTGGTGGTAGTAGATTCCACAAGTAAGTTGTGCAAGGAAGAAAACTTCTTTTAAATCGCACGGTGGTGGACCGCCAGTCATCCAGATGGTATGGATGGTATCGCGAGTTTTGTCGTATTTTAAATTTGAACAAGTACTTAGAAAAAGTTGTTAAAATTTATAGTACAATTCTTTCAGTAATTAAAATATTTTTTTAACAACAAATATTATAAAGCAAAATGTAGATTTATCTAAAACTATCATCGTAATAAAACGCTTCTATTTAAAAAAAGGAATGTCATAAATGCATATTATATAAAAATTGTTTATTAATACTAATAACTAAAAAAATTGTGACTGTTTCTCTTTAGGCTGATTTTGCAATCGTTAGATAAAAGTTAAACCATTGAAATATTTTTTTCACGTAACTGTAATTTCGAAATTGTTCCGGTTATATTAATTTTCCTTGGAATAATTTTTATCAGTCGATTGAAAAATCATCCCTTACATTAAAATATTAATTTCATAGTTAACACAACATGCAGTAAAATCGGTTTTTGAATGCAAGTACTTTTATTTATTTAGTAAGGCACCTCAAGTTTTTGGTTTGTATTACACATTGAAATAATTTAACAAAATATAGGTATTTATATAATTGCGGGGCAGACTGTACTGTTATGTTGGATTCTTTTTCTTTAATTCTAAATACATTTATAAATTATTACCCTTTAGACATAAATCGCATATGGCGGAAAACCACACCTCGAAAAATGATCATAACCAATAGTTGTACAGTGCGGAATACGAAACTTGTGGCTCGCAGTGCTACAGCCACGTGATTAGACTTAGCTTAGTTGCTTAGCGATAATATCAACTCTGTCCTGTTTTATTTTTTGTTTCGAGAAGATAGATAATTAAGATAACATTTGCAGTACAGTCTGATTTTAACGAGGGTAAAAACTTTCCTGATAGTAGAGAGTTCACACTATTTCGTACAAATATCTAGAGAAACTGGTAGTTAACTATTTTAATCTACTATACCATCTAATACGAACACCGAAGAGATAATTACCGTAATATGGCATTAAAATCATAAATAACGATTTATAATTAATCATAAAAGAGATCAAAATACATTTTAAAAGAAATCATCTTCTCCTTTTGGTAAATAGACAATGAATGTAATTAATGACCTAAAAAGGCGTAGTTAAATATTAGCGCCATCTAGTGATAAACGCTGGACTTAAATATTTTTTGGACTGATTTTGTGACATGGTGAAAAATTTAGAAATAAAAACTATGTATTGGCGCTGTTTAAAAAAAATCAAACCGCCTTTTATTATAATTCGTTATTTCGTCTATTCTCGTGTTTGCTTCGTTGTGATATCTTGTTGTTCTGGTCGCAGAAACGTGTCTTCATTTAGCTGTGGAGATCGTGGACCTGGAATGCAGAGGAATGTATATTAATAAACATTAATTATGTGATTGTTTGTATCAAAGGATCTATAGGAATGATAGGAATGTAAAACGTGCTTGTAATTGCTATAGGACTGCGCCCGTTCAGATGTTAACTCTCTCCGAAGAGAAAAGCAAACAGCTTCCTTCCCTAAAATGTTTTCCACCGAATTTGACCCCCTTATCACATTTATGTTTCGGTGGGATACTCCATGGCACTGTGGTTTCGTAATAAACGGCTCCGTGGCGCAGTCGCACAGCATTGATTACCGCGGGTTCTAATCCCGCACGGAACGAGAATTTGTATTGCCTACAAATGATTGTTCCAAGTATGGCGTTTGTTATTGTGTAATTTATGTGTGTAAACTGCCTACGCGATACGGAGAAAATCTTAGAGCGGTATTGAGCTTTATTTAAAAAAATGCTTTTAGGGATTTTGGGTCCTTCCTTCCTTGTGTGTTTTTTTTTATTAATAGCTCTGCTCCCTGTCGAAAGTAAATTGCCAGCCTACATACGTCCTACATCCATTATGCATTCCATTATAGCCTAATAATGTCCACAGCCGACCACAGGCCTTCCCATAGACTGTCTCATAAGGGGGATAATTGGCACAGTTGCCACGCTTGGCAGAGGGGTTGGCAACCGGAGTTTTTCATTTACTAATTGTTAGGAAGACACTGCTGTCCATCCCCTGATATGTTTCTCTCCGTCGCCTCTGACGATACCCACGAAAGGATATGGCGGGGTGGGGGGGGGGGTTAGGCTTTAGAGGTGAAATATTTTAAATATCCAGTATAATTACAGGCTGAGCTGTACCGGAGAGAGTGCTCAAGAGTGGCGACTAGGCCTAATCAGCTATAAATGACGATCAATTTTGTGCGTAAACACGTTTGGAATTATTTTTTCCACGGCTAGGGTTGCGAGCTGTCTGTATAGGAAACGAGAAATTTTTCTAAAAAAAAAAAACACTTCTTGAAATTTCTCAGCTCAGATTAAATAACACCTCTGCTCGTAAAGAAACAAAACTGTATTGCAATACATGTTTCTTTTTTCATTTCATTTTATATTCCACAAATGTTATTTACGTGGTAGAGTCACGCTGCAGCTATGTTATATAAAAAAGCTATATTATAATTTTAGAACGAATGGGTTGGCTCGACCAGAGCAGGACCACGCTCTCACAGAATACAAGCGTAAAATAGCAGCGTAATGCTGCTGTGTTTCGTATGATGAGTGTAGAGAACCAGAGACCCTTTTTACTAGAATCGAGGCATTCCGTCTTAGTTCTCAAGCGAGACAATGCATTTGCATGTTGATCCTTAGTAAAAGTTTACATGTGGATGTCTATGTGCCACAGCATCCACTTACCATCAAATGGACTGTGTGCTCGTTTGTCACTCAATGCTATAAAAAAATGTGTGGGGATGGGACTTCGTATTGCGTGGAGTCCATCTGGGTGGTACCATTTTATTTATTTCTGCCGCGAAATATGTTCCAGCTTGAAGACTATAGAGAGCTAGAATAATTAGAGGCTGTGAGGTATTCCATCACAGTCTTCAGAGGTAACACCTCATCTGTAGCCTACTTTATGTTTGAAGTTTCTTACCATCTGGTGGACTGCAAGCGTTTGTGCGTTTGTTACATCAGTTTTATAAAAGAAAATATTCTTAAAATAAGTTTTGTAAACTTAAAAAGGTATATAAGGTACGTTAGGGTAATACTGTCACTTTAAGCTTTGCCGCCTTATAAAACCACAACAAGCTTTGGCAATAATTAGGAACACTTAGAACAATCACCCTAAAAAGACTACACTACACAATGCTAAAATCGAATAAAATATTTACTATAATATCAACTGGCAAAATGGCGTTGATGAAGAAGCGCCCTTTTGACACTCTTATATTTGATTGTCTGATGAAGAGCTATCGAATCACAGAGTCATCTATACAAATAAGGCTGTATTTTTTGAGTTTTATAAAAGTTACCATATTAACCGGATGACCATATTACCCTCACGCACTATATTTTACATTTTTTTACTGCGTTGGTAACCCTGCCGGCGACAGACGTGATCGAGGAAACACCCATCAGAAATGATAAGCAACGGTGTGATATACGGCCGCGATATCCTACAACATTGTAACGGTTCAATCTAGTTCCTTTTTCGGACTGTGGGAGAGCTATCTTAGTTTACGTTGGAGTTGGATCACTGGTTTGTGAACTTGGCCGAGAGGTCTTTGTATTTATAGATAGTTTGACCTTAATGCGTTTATGTCTTATATATTGGACTTTAGAATGAGATTTAAGACGTAACCGTGATGTCCGAAGTAGAGTTAAAACATTAGGCAGTGGATAATTGAACGGATTTTATCGCATTTTTTTATAGAATAAGGGTGACAAACAAGCATACAGTCCACCTGATGGTAAGTAGATGTTGTGGTCCATAGACATCTACACTTAAACTAGATTAGGAATCAAAATATAGATACGTTGTCACCTCTAAGGATTTAAGAAGGAATGCCTAGATTCCAGTAAAACGGGTCTCCGGTTCTCTACACTCACCATATGAAAAACAGCAGCATCAAGCTGCTATTTTACGCTGGTATTCTGTGAGAGCTTGGTCCTACCCCGGTCGAACCAATCCATTCGTGCTACTACCATAATATAGCTGCAGCGTGCCTCTACCACGCATTAATGTAACTTATTTCACTTATTTTTAGTTCCAGACGTTTCGAGGGTTTTAAATAACCCATGATATATGTATATAATGTTGTATATATACAATGAAAATGCTGTGAGGCATTTTGTTTAGTCCTCAAATTTGACAATTCACTAGAAGGTATTCATTGTTTGGATTTGGTTGTAGATGTGAATGTAGTGGAAACTTACCGACTGCTAGTTAATTTTGTCACTCTAAAAGTCTTATTTAATGCTGGATGCATTGTTTACTATCCCTTTACCCTTGAATCTGCCTGCTAAGTGTGGCGACCGGAGAATGACTATGCTGTCAAAGAATGTCAGTGTAAAGTAGCAGCTTAATGCTACTATTTTTCGTAAGTCACTCAATGCGAACTTACTTGTGAGTATAGAGGACCGGAGACCCCTTTTTTTGGAAATGAGGCATTTCATCTTAGGTTTAAAGGGTGACAAGACATCTGCATTTTGATTCTTAAATGAAGATAGATGTCTATAGGCCACAGGATCCACTAACCATCGGGTGAACTGTTTGCTCGTTTGTCACCCATTTTCTATAAAGACAGGAAAAAAAGATTCAGTGGTACTTTGAGTAACCAACCACGCGCTATCAACTATGAATTATGTAAGTAAATAGCATTCAATCCCGTTACAATTTATAGCGCCTGTTAATATTTTAACACTACTGAATTAACAATTCCTATTAAAACCGCTTGCGACGTTAATTTATTCTGAGCTCCTATATATTCAACAATATCGGGTGTCTGGACTTCCTTCCCGCATATTTAATTGGTATTAACATAGATAATTTTGTTACGGTACGCTGGTTGTACGTTGACAAGCTAAAATGTATTTTATCTTATAAGCAACAGAATCTAAAGTTGTAAATACACGGAACTATAAAAAATAATGAGGTTACTTTAATAACTATAAAAAAGTTATTTAAAATGAAACATAAAGTGTTTACCGTATGGTGATGATTTAAGAGAGACGATTTAGGTGAATCTATCATTATTGTAGGAAATTTAAATGACTAAAGGGAGATACTATAACCTCAAATTGATAACGGTGCTAAGATCAGTAGTTAAGTCAGAGTTATCAACGTAGCCTAACAGATCAATACTAATACTAATAATCAATACTAACTGATTTTGACCTGACTTGGGATTCGAATCCGGGATCTCATGACCAAAAACCGCGTTTACTACCACTAGAGCAAGTGAGGCAGTTAACGAGGCAGATAGCCGGATAACAATCTACTATATACCCGATGATATCCGTAACGATGCGATTATACATGGTAGAGCCATGCTGCAGCTATGTTATGGTTGTGGCACGAATGGGACGGCTCGTCCGGGGAAGGACCACGCTTTCACACAATACCAGTGTAAAATAGCAGCCCTATGGTGTGTTTCGTATGGTGAGTGTAGAGAACCGGATACATTACGAGTAACTAGCCATTCCACCTTAGTTACCAGGGGTGGTAACGCATCTGCATTTTGATTCTTAATCGAGGATAATGATGTCTATGGGCCACAGCATCCACCCAACATCAGGTGAACTGTGTGCTCGTTTGTCATCCTTATGCTATAAAAATATCGGCAGTAAAACAACAATATTCGACATGGCCCAATGCATTACAGTACGATTGCACTGAGAAACATTCAACACGTAATGTTTTGAAACAAATCGCATAAAATAAATCGCACAACATGTTTTGTTGATGGCGGCGTTCGTACTCACAAAAACAGTGTAAAATTTTTAACAGATATTCAAACTTAAATTCAAATTCAAATTCTTTATTTGCAACTAAATAGGTACAAAATGTTTTCTTGTTGATGTTATACTGTTATTGTGTTAAGAAAACCTATTTAGCTGTTTTCAATAGCATGCAAATATTCAAAAGTTTTTATAATACAATCAATTACTAAATTTCGTCTATATAAACAAACTAAAACGTCATTTTACAATCTTTATAAATAAATAAATACATATATATAAATTAATTAATTAATGCATCGATTTTTAATTAACGATAAAACTACTTAGTCACTACAATTCAAAAACTCATTTACTGTATAAAATGCTTTTTCTAAGGGAGGTTATAAGGTAATTGCTTAATATGTGAGGGTATTTTGTTATATATCGTGTTACACATTGCATAGCTATTTTTTTTGAAACCCCTAATTTTTGGAATTGTGTAAGTACTAATTTATGTGGGTTCCGTAAATTTATTTTTGTTGCATCATTAGTTTGTAAGAATAAGTGCTTGTTTTGCATTACAAATTTGCC